CCTTCTCAGCAAATAGAGCTAGGAAATATATGAATGTATATATGTATACACATACATACACACACACACACACACACACACACACACACACACACACACTGTTCCAGTTACTATAGCCACCTAACATACCACCCCAAAACTTGGTGTAAAACAACCATTTTATTATACTCATGGAATACTGTGTCAGAAAGGACACAATAAGGATGGCTTATCTTTGCTCAGTGAAGTCTGGGTCCTTATCTGGGGAGACTTAAAGGCTGAGGGTGACTTAACCACTGAGAGCTGGGATCATCTGGAGGCATCTTCTGTCGCATTTCTGGCAGTTGATGCTAGCTGTCAGCTGACTCTCTAATGGGGATGTTGGCCAGAACACCTGCACTTGTCCTCTCCATGTAGCATGAGCTTTTTCACAGCATGGCAACCTTGAGATAGTTAAGATTCTTACATGGCACTCATGGCTCCAAGAGCATGTTGAAATGAGTAAGGCAGAAGCTGTATAATCTTTTCTGAGCTAGCCTCAGAAATCATGCAGTATGACTTCTGCTGCCTTCTGTTGGTTATAAGACAGTTACAAACATGTTTAGATTTAAGGGGAGGAGGTATGGACCTCATAACCCACTTCTTTTTTAAAATTACTTTATTGAAGTATAGTTGATTTACAAAGTTGTGTTAATTTCTGCTGTATAGCAAATTGATTCAGTTATACATATATATATATATTCTTTTTCATATTCTTTTCCATTATGGTTTATCACAGGATATTGAATATCGTTCCCTGTGCTATACAGTAGGACCTTGTTGTTTATCCATCCTACATATAATAGTTTGCATCTGCTCATCCCAAACTGCCAATCCTCCCCTCCCCCATCCCCCCATCCTTGGCAACCACAAGTCTGTTCTCTATGTCTGTGAGTCTATAAACCAACCTCTTGACAGAAGAAATGGAAAGAGTTCAAGACAAAGTAGTAGATGAGAAAGACAACAAGAGTACAGCCAGTCCTTTCAAAGAATTTTGCCATAAAGGGAAGGAAAGAAATGCAGCATAATGTAAAAAGAAATGTGGGCTCAGAGGAAGGATATTTAAAATGGACATATATTGGTATTTTTATATGCTGATAGGAATGACAAAGTAGACAGGGACAGGGACCAGGGAGTGCAATTGTAGGAGTGATGCTCTTGACTGAGAAGGACTGGGATTCAGTGCACAAGTGGAGGGGGTGACCCTAGATAGACACATTTGTGATGCCTGGAGGGAGACAGAGTCTAAGGGCAGAAATGTAGGAGAAGGTGGGAAGTGGAAAAAGAAGTTCTTTCTGTTGTCCCTGGTTTTCAGTGAACTAGGAAGTAATGTCATCAGCTGGGCATGAGGGAGTTGATTTGAGGAGAGAAAAGAAGGTGCCCCAGGGCAAGAATAAAAATGGAGGCTCACATATCATAGGTCTAAATTTTTTAAAGTTAATCATCAAGCTAATAAACTGTTAGGTATGTTCTTTACTCTTACTTTACCAAGTTTACTTTCATAACAACAAAAGAATGTGCGTAAAGCAACACAGCTGGAAAAAATATCAAAATGACTACATTTAATTATTATCGCATGTACCTAGGTATTCTTTTGGTGGACCAGATATGGCTGGATGAGTAACAAAATAAAGATGTGCATTACTGGAGAAAGAATAGTCTCTTCAATAAATGATGCGGAAAACTGGACAGCCAACATGCAAAAAAAAAAAAAAAAGAATCAACTCAAAATGGATTAAAGACTTGAATGTAAGACCTGAAACCATACAACTCCTGGAAAAAAACATACACAGTATGCTCTTTGACATCGATTGTAGCAATATCTTTCCGGATATGTCTCCACAGGCAAGGGAAACAAAAGCAAAAATAAACAAAGGAGACTATATCAAGTTAAAAATCTTCTGCACAGCAAAGGAAACCATCAACAAAATGAAAGGACAACCTACAGAATGGGAGAAGATATTTACAAATCATATATCTGATAAGGGCTTAAAATCTAAAATATATAAAGAACTCATACAACTCAAAAACTACTTGATTTTTTTACATGGGCAGAGGAGCCAAATAGACATTTTTCAAAAGAAGACACACTGATGGCCAATAGGCACATGAAAAAGATGTTCTACATCACTAATTATTAGGGAAATGCAAATCAAAATCACAAGATATAATCTCATGCCTGTCAGAATGGCTATTATCAAAAAGGCAAGAAATAACAAGTGTTGATGAGGATGTGGAGGGAGAAAAGGAACTCTTGTACATTGTTGGTGGGAATGTAACCTGCTACAGCCACTGTGGAAAACAGCATGGAGATTCCTCAAAAAATTAAGAATAGAATTTCCATATGACCCAGCTATTCCACTTTTGGGTTTTATCCCCAAAATATGAAAACACTAATTAAAAGAAATATGCACCCCTGTGTTTATTGCAGCATCATTTACAATAGCTACTCTATGGAAACAACCTAAGTGCCCACTGGCAGATGAAAGGATAAATAAGGTGTGGTGTATGTATATTAAATGGAATACTATGCAGCCATAAAAAAGATTAAATCTTGCCATTTGAGAGAATATGGACGGATCTTGAGGGTATTCCACTAAGTGAAATAAGTCAGATGGAGAAAGACAAATACTTTATGATTTCACTCATATGTGGAATTTTAAAAAAAATAAATGAATAAATAAATGAACAAACCAAACCAAACAAAAACAAATACGTAGATACAGAGAACAGAGCAGTGGCTACCAGAGGTGAAGGGATGAGGGGAGGGTGAAGAGGGTAAAGGTGGTCAACTTTGTGGTGATGGATGGAAACAGAATTTTTGGCGGTGAGCACACTATAGTGTAAACATAAGTAGAAGTATAATGTTGTACACATGAAACTTATGTTATAAACCAATGTTACCTCAATTTAAAAGAGACATGCATTATTTACAAGTTAATAAATATATATTTCAAACCATTTATTTTTCTTATCTTCATTTTTGCAAAGTCACTAATTATGTTGTTATAACTGAGATTTTCATATAATCTATGTTCTATTAACAGTAATGGGCTAAAGAATTTAAAAGTTAAATGCAGGACTTCCCTGGTGGCACAGTGGATAAGAATCCGCCTGCCAATGCAGGGGACACGGGTTCAAGCCCTGGTCAGGGAAGATCCCACATGCCGTGGAGCAACTAAGCCCATGTGCCACAACTACTGAGCCCACGTGCCACAACTACTGAAGCTCACATAACTAGAGCCCATACTCCGCAACAAGAGAAGCCACCATAATGAGAAGCCTGCACACTGCAATGAAGAGTAGCTCCTGCTCGCCACAACTAGAGAAAGCCTACACGCAACAACGAAGGCCCAACGCAGCCAAAAATTAATTAGTTAATTAAAAATAAAATAAAACTTAAATGCAACTGACTTCAAACTTTACATAATTTCAATATATTTTCATGAAGACATATAATGAAGTTAATGTAAAATTAAAATTATTATCATGCTTTCAAATGTTATTTTTCTAATATTTAAATCATCTACTAAAATTGAAGTGTAAATTGCAAATTATACTGAATAAATATTAAAAGTTATTTATAGAAAGCTGCCATTTGAAGGGAGGGCTTCCCTGGTGGCGCAGTGGTTAAGAATCTGCCTGCCAATGCAGGGGACACAGGTTTGAGCCCTGGTCCAGGGAGATCCCACATGCCACGGAGCAACTAAGCCCATGTGCCACAACTACTGAGGCTGCATTCTAGAATCCGTGAGCCACAACTACTGAGCCCGCGTGCCACAACTACTGAAGCCTGCATGCCTAGAGCCCATGCTCACAACAAGAGAAGCCACTGCAATGAGAAGCCTGCGCACCACAAGGAAGAGTAGCCCCCACTCGCTGCAACTAGAGAAAGCCCACGAGCAGCAGCGAAGACCCAACACAGCCAAAAATAAAATAAAATTAATTAATTAATTTAAAAAAAGAAAGCTGCCAGTTGAAAATTTAACTTTTTGAAATTTTAATTAAATCTTATGAAATATTTTTATAAAAATAAAACTATTCAAGTATTAGATGCCTATTTAGTTGCCAGTGTAACTTCATGTGCCATATTTGTTATACATACATATGCATGTATACAAATTGAAGAGTAATATTAATTGTTTAGTACAGGAACATGTTCCTCAGCCACTGTGGTCAACTGTGACCCTACTGGGAAAGGGTACATCATTATGTAAGAAGGTACTACATTCATACTGACTGAGAGGAGGTTTGACAAGTTAATTGATTTGTCTTTTCTGTTACTTAATCACTATCACTGCTAAATTCTCCTGCATCCCAAACAAGTGGCCATCTGCAGGGTCAGCAACAGCAAAACCTATGAATCTTCACAGCATTTGGTCACCATCACCTTTTGTTTCAATGATAAAGGACAAGAGGTAAGGAGACACATTTCCTTGCAACTTGAATAGTGTTAATTATAGCAGCAGATGTTTAGACTTATGGTCATGCTGTGTCTAGTAGGCTGCCTTCTAAAATGGCTCCCAGTGATCTCCACCTTCTGATGGTTATGCCCATATGTAATCCCCTCCCCTTGAGTGTGGACTGAATCTAGTGACTTGCTTCTTTTTCTAGTTGCGGTGAGCGGGGACTATTCTTTGTTGCGGTGCATGAGCTTCTCACTGTGGTGGCTTCTCTTGTGTTGCGGAGCACGGGATCTAGGCGCGTGGGCTTCAGTAGTTGTGGCCCACAGGCTCTAGTTGTGGTTTGCAGGCTCTAGAGTGCAGCCTCAGTAGCTGTGGCACACAGGCTTAGTTGCTCCACAGCATGTGGGATCTTCCCAGACCAGGGCTTGAACCCGTGTCCCCTGCATTGGCAGGCAGATTCTTAACCACTGCGCCACCAGAGAAGTCCCCTAGTGACTTGCTTCTATTGAATAGAATTTGGCAAAGAGTGACAGGATGTCAATTCTGAGATTAAAAGTCATGACTTTTGTCTTATAGGCACTCTATTGCTGGCTTTGAAGAAGCAAGCTGCCACTTTGGAGCGGCCCACATGGCAAGAAACTGAGGGTGGCCTCTGGGAAATAGCCAAAAAGAGACTGATATCTTCAGTCCAACAACCTTTAAGGAACTGAATCCTGCCAGCGATCCATGGAGCAAGATTAGAATCAGGTCTTTCCCCAACGGAGCCTTCAGAGGAGACCACTGGCAACACCCTGATTGCAGCTTCATGCGAGACCCTGAAGCAGAGGATCCAGCTAAGCTTCTCCCAGGTTTCTGACTGACAGAAATCATGAAATAATGTGTGTTGTTTTGAGCTACTAGTTTGGGGGTAATTTTATATAACAAGAGATAATTAATACACTGAGCCAGAATTAAGTGTCAGATCCTTAGTAACAGAGATACCCCTATGTCCCTTCAAAATTGTTTGTGTGTGTTGACATGAGGTGTCCTCTTAAATGTGGGCTCAAAGCAGAGTCCCTTCTTGCCTGGGTGTACTAATAGTACCAGGACTGGTTCATTAGTCTTCAATTTTTTTGCTTGCATGTTCCCTAAAAACATTTTGGAAAACTATGTGACCTCCTGCATGTCTTTTACTTCATATCTAATTTTTTCCTTGTAAATTTAAATAACTACAAACAGTGTAAAAATTTTAGTATCTTATAAATATCAACATTTAAAAATAAGACTGTTTATATTACTGTTTTAAATGTAACCAGTAGAACCTAAATGCCATAGCTTTTTTTTTTTTTAGCTATGCCGTGAGGCATGTGGGATCTTAGTTCCCCAACCAGAGATTGAACCCGTGCCCCTTGCAGTGGAAGAGCAGAATCTTAACCACTGGACCGCCAGTGAAGTCCCAATGCCATAGCTTTTTGATATTCAACATCATCCTTTTGAAAAACATATGAATAGGGACTTCTCAGGTGGTCTAGTTGTTGAGACTTCGCCTTCCAATGCAAGGTTACAGGTTCAATTCCTGATCGGAGAGCTAGGATCTCACATGCCTCAGGCCAAAAAAACAAAAAACATAAAACAGAAGCAATACTGTAAAAAGTTCAATAACGACTTTAAAAAAAAAAAGTCTTTTTTTTAAAAGACTTTAAAAAAAAATAAAATCTTTAAAAAAAACCCAGATAGAACATATAAATAAACTCTTCTTCAACAGCTGGACATTTTACATTATTTACTTTTTCCTTGAATTTATATTTCATTCACTTCCACTACATAATTTTTTCTTAATGTATTTTATATGTGAAAGTCTTGTATTGATCTTTCTATATTTCTCTGTAACAAAATATATTTTTTAAAATTAGTTCTTTTTAATTTCTTTTAACCATAATACTCTAAATGTTTAAACTTTTCTTTTGGATTGAACTATTAGCAACAAAGCAAATTGATCAAAATCACATAAATATATTATACATTTTGATAGCTATCAATAAACATATAAAATTTTATTTACAATGCGTCTTTTAATGGGTTTTTAGCTAGTTCTGTATTAAGGAAGAACAAATCTGACTCCATATTAGATCTGTTCCTTTTACTTTTTTCTTTTATTTTAAAATTTTTATTTATTTATTTATTTATTTATTTATTTATTTTTGGCTGCGGTGGGTCTCTGTTGCTGCGCGCAGGCTTTCTCTAATTGTGGTGAGCAGTGGCTTCTCTTGTTGCGGAGCACGAGCTCTAGGCGCATGGGCTTCAGTCGTTGCAGCATGCAGGCTCAGTAGTTGTGGCTCTGGGGCTCTAGAGCACAGGCCCAGTAGTTGTGGTGCATGGGCTTAGTTGCTCCACAGAATGTGGGATCTTCCAGGACCAGGGTTCGAACCTGTGTCCCCTGCATTGGCAGGCGGCTTCTTAACCAGTGCGCCACCAGGTAAGTCCTCCTTTTACTTTAATCTTTATGCTCTGTTGCCTGTGCTTAGTCATGCTGGCTCTGCACCTTTTGTAAAAGAATGTTGCCTATAGCTTCAAGTATACAGGATAGACTGACCTTGACCTGACCTGAACACAGAATAACATTTGTCTTGTTGGAGGTTTAGAGGAACATCGTGACCTGTGAACTGACCTACCTGGACAGCTGCAAGAACAAACGATCCCACACCAAGAAGTTTGCAACAACTAACCACGCCACTCCCTCATCTTGCCTTTAAAAGGGCTTTGCTGGACTTCCCTGGCGGTCCAGTGGTAAAGACTCCACACTTGCTTCCACTATATGGGGCACGGGTTCAATACCTGGTCAGTGAACTAAGATCCCAGAAGCCCTACAGTGTGGCCAAAAAAAAAAAAGAAAAAGAAAAAGGCTTTGCTTGAAAGCCTTTGGGGAGTTTGGGCTTTTTAAGTCATGAAAAAGCCCTTTGCCTGGCCCTGCAATAAACCTTTCTCTGCTCCAGACTCTGACAACAACAAGTTCTGGTATTGTTTGGCCTCACTGTGCCTCAGGCACCTGGGCTTGCTTTAGGTAACAGTTCATGTAACATCGTTACATGTAACAATCGTAAGAATAGCATAGCTGGAATGAGACAACCTTCAGTAACAATTCTCTATCTATTTTTCTTTTCATCAGAATAAAAGCTGAGAGTTCTTGTTCACATAAATAAGTAAATGGGAATGGAAATAATTTTATTATAGCAATGACACTCACTTCTTTGAACTTCTTCTGAATTATATGCCAAAAATCACATAATAAGCCATCATTAAATGTATTTTAATGATATTCAAGCTGAAAACTCAATTAGATTCTCTATTAATTTTGTTGAAAGCAACGAATTGAAAACCACCTGACTTGCTAAAGGATTCATTACTCAATTATTAGAGTCATTTACTTTCAAAAACAATATTCCAAATTGGGCTTCCCTGGTGGCGCAGTGGTTGAGAGTCCGCCTGCTGATGCAGGGGACATGGGTTCGTGCCCCAGTCCGGGAAGATCCCACATGCCGTGGAGCGGCTGGGCCCATAAGCCATGGCCGCTGAGCCTGCACGTCCGGAGCCTGCGCGTCCGGAGCCTGTGCTCCGCAACGGGAGAGGCCACAACAGTGAGAGGCCCGCATACCGGAAAAAAAAAAAAATTTCAAATTGTACTTTAGTTTAGCAACTCAGATGTTTTTATATTTCCCCATCTTGGGAGAATGGCAAATGGGCAATGGCAAAAGAGGAGGAGAGAAATGAAAATATGCACAAAAGTTCACAGGTAAATCAGTTTTACGAAAAGGATATACAGAAATAGAGAATGTGAAAATGGATACATTCATAACTGGCCATGTCCTCCTGTCCCTTGTAGGACTTTGTGTATTCCTTGGAGTCTGCACACTCCAGGGTGAAGACCACTGGACTAGGGACATGTAGTATGACTGTCAGCCAGCACAAGGTATACTTGAGACTTAACCAAAAATTCAAAATGAGACCAGTCAGCATGGTATGTGTTTTCCTTTCCCTCCAGATATGCTCAGCCACGTGCATGCAATGGCAGAGTTGGCAGAGAATTAGGACTTTGCCAAGAGTGCTGGGAAAGGATGAAGGAGCAAAGGAGTCAAGGCTGTATGCAAGGTAACATCAGGATTATTGGTGAAGTCCAGACAGGAAGATGAGTCCTAAAATTTCCAGTTCTTAAGGATGAACTCTCCCAGGGTAGCAAAATGAGAAGAGAAGGGGGTTCAAGCTTTGGACAGCTCCAATATTTAATGTCAGTGGGGCAGGAAGTAGATGGGCTCCAGGCTAGACATTTACAACAGGCCTCCTGTTTGCATTTCCTGAAACAGGAGATAGGTGGGCTCCAGGATAGATATTTACAACCAGCCTCCTGTTTGCACTTCGAAATAGGAATAACAACAGAAACAGGGTGCCTACACTTTAAGATAACAGTCATGGCAGGAACAGAGAGGGGCTAAACCCTGTTTGAGTAAAAGATCAAGAGGTCCTATATTTCCCATCTTTGGGGCAAAGGAGACACCGTACATGCACAGAAAGGCTCCTTGGGGGTCAAAAAGAAGGGGTCACCACCCCAGAATAGGTGATGCCAAGGGCCCCCATAGGCCTCTGGGCTGGAATCCATCTTGGAAAAAAGTTGTGCATGCAAGTTGGGGAGGGTCCTATGACAGGTCAGGTGTGGAAAAAGAAACCAGATAATTGGCCAAAGGTAAACAAAGACTGGGGAGAGCCACTCTGTATAAATGATTTAACCGACTCTTTACTCCTCCTCATTAGGGAGAACCCCACACCCTTTCTCTCTGGGTGTGTTATCTCTGCCTTGCTTCTGTCTTAACTAAACAAACTGTTTCTCTGTGTGCTCTCCCACTTGTTGTGCTGTGTCTCTAATAATAAACTTCATACCTGTTTTTACAGTTTTTGTCTCCCTGAGAAATGCATTTTTCAGTGGAGGCAAGAGCCACAGAAAATTTACTTCTAGTCTCCAGCCCTTGCTGGTCTAGTGGCTAGGATTCCTGGTTTTCATCCAGGCTACCCAGGTTCAATTCCTGGGCAGGGAACTAAGATCTTGCTTCAAGCCACCACTCACTGCTGCTGCGTCTCCAAGATCATCAGGATAAAGAAGGCAATGGCAAGAGTGATCACAGAGGTGGATATTAGAAAGTGTTGTGTCTTGGAGACCAAGGAAAGTGTCCCAAGAAAGTGGAAGTCCACTTATCTGGTGCTGGGGAAATCAAGTAAGAGGAGGTCTGGAAATTTATTGTATTTAGTTACATCCAAGTCATTGGGGGATTTAGGAGAGTAAGAGGCAGAAGCCCAACTGGAGTGGGTTGTGAAAAATGAGTGGGAGGTGGGGGATGGGAAAAGCCGATACTAACAATTCTTATTTGGAGGAGGACAATAGGATTATTCTTTATCCCTTTTATTGGTTTTCATTATAATGTTTACTGCAGTTTATTTTATATATATATATATATATATATATATATATACATATTGTCTTCTCTTCTTTATCTGTGGGTCTCCTTCCTCAAAACTGGAATCATAGGCTTCCCTGGTGGCGCAGTGGTTGAGAGTCTGCCTGCCAATGCAGGGGACATGGGTTCGTGCCCCGGTCTGGGAAGATCCCACATGCCGCGGAGCTGGGCCTCTGAGCCATGGCAGCTGAGCCTGCGCATCCGGAGCCTGTGCTCCGCAACGGGAGAGGCCACAACAGTGAGAGGTCTGCGTACCGCAAAAAAAAACAAACAAAAAGAAACTGGAATCAAAGCTCTATGAGGCTGGCAACCAACACTGTCTTGTCCAGTCTGTGCAGTATACTGGACACTTGGAAATATTTTTGAATCAATTGATGAAAAAACCAATGCTAAACAAAAGGTTTACAGAAGTAGTCCATCCCCAAACAAAGATATATCTTGATCCAAGGACAAATTTGTGCTTCATTTCTTTGAACTTGAAAGAAATTTTAAGCTCTTTTGGTTAAATCTTGAGAATTGGACATTCAAGTTCCTCTCACCTCATGCCGCAAACCTCCCTGAAATGGGATAAGAAAGGCACAAAGAGAACAGGGGAAGAGACAATATCAGACAGGAGAAGACAACATCTTAATTGGAAAGCTGGTGGAGCTGAGAGAAGAGTGATTACTGACCTTGTCAATCCGAAAAAGCAAAACCTAAGGGTGAGAGCAGGAGCTGTGGGCAACAAGAAGCAATTCCTGAGGCACAACTTCGGGAAAATGTAGGAATTTCACAGCTCTAGTTTCCCGTGAAAGCAGAGGTGCAAGGAGAGGATGGATTAAAAGTTTTTGAAGAAGCTGAGATACCTGCAGTTAATTCCCCCCACAGCTGGTAACCAGGCAACTCCCAGGCCAGCCCATCATGCTGAGAGAAGACTGGGGAAAGGCCAAACCAGACAGATTCTGGCCTTGGGGACACCAAGCCCAAATGAGCAGAGAGCAGGCTCCATTCTGAACACAGGGGCCTTTAGTGAAGACCTATATCCCAAGCAGTGAACCACCAGCCCCCTTTCCCCATTTGGTTCCCAGAAGACTGACAATCCACTCTCACCCCCCAGGAGGCAACTGACTCCCTCAAGAAAAAATACCCACAGGTACTGACGTTTGAATGTGATTCAAAAAATTTGCCATTCTGCGTGCAGGAAAGCGCGGAGTCCTAACCACTGTCCTGCCAGGGAATTTCCATGCTTCAAAAATTTAAAAGTCTGGATTCCTACTCAATTACCTCAAGGCCACTAGTTCCCACCTAGGTTCCAGAGTGGCCCACCAGCTTGTGGGTGTCTTGCTTTTAAATAGGAGTGCTCAGGTCAGGACTGTATACTGTATTTGAGGGAGACTTTGGACATGAACAAAAAATAAAAATAAAAAGTTAAAAAGAAGCCGGTGGGCGACGCCGGCAGGAGCTCGCGCGTCGCAAGATGGCGGTGGCCATGTGGGCCGCAGGCCCCGGGCCGGTTCACATCCGGGCGGCCCGCGGTGGCGGCCGGCCCGTGGTCTCTCCTCGTGGTCACTCCCTCCGCCTCTCCCTCCTTGCCCGGGATGGATCTGCCCGTGGGCCTGGGCACGGCAGAGCCCAGCAACGTCCAGGTCTTCCTGACCAAGTTGTGGACCTTCGTGAGCAACCAAGACACGGACGTTCTGGAGCCCGAGCAGGAACAGCGTCCACGTGCTCAACCAGGGCCCGTCTGCCAAGGAGGTGCCACCTAAGTCCTCCAAGCACAGCAGCACGGCCAGCTTCGTGGGGCAGCTCAACATGTGTGGCTTCCGGAAGGTGGTCCGCATTGAGCAGGGCAGCCTGGTCAAGCCAGAGGGGGACGACACCGAGTTCCAGCACCCGTGCTTCCTGCGCGGCCAGGAGCAGCCCCTGCTCAAGAGGAAAGTGACAGCGTGTCCACTCTGTGGAGCGAGGACATAAAGATTCCCCAGGACAGGGTCACCAAGCTGCTGACCGACGTGCAGCAGATGAAGGGGAAGCAGGAGAGCATGGATTCCAAACTGCTGACCGTGAAGCAAGAGAACGAGGCCCTGTGGCGGAAGGTGGCTGGCCTGCAGCAGAAGCACGCCTGGCAGCAGAAAGACGTCAACAAGCTCATCCAGTTCCTCATCTCGCTGGTGCAGTGGAACTAGATCCGGGGGGTGAAGAGAAAGATCCCCCTGATGCTGTACGACAGCTATTCCATGCCCAGAACTCCCTGGAGCACATCCACGGCCCGGGCCCCTACTCGGCTCCGGCATGGCCTACAGCGGCCGCAGCTTCTGTTCCCCAGATGCTGTTGCCGGCTCGGGACCCTTCGTCTCTGACATAACTGAGCTACCCCAGTAGTCCCTTGGCCTCTCCAGGCAGGAGCATAGACGACTAGAGGCCCCTGTCCAGTAGGACCCTGGTTCGAGTCAAGGAGGAGCCCCCCAGCCCACCTCGGAGCCCCCGGGCAGAGGATGCTGGTCCCGGGCACCCGTCCACCATGGTGGATACGCCCCTGTCCCCAACCACCCTCATTGACTCCATCCTGTGGGAGAGCCTGCGCCGGCTGCCTCGGCCACACCCTTCACAGACGCGGGGGCGGAAGGGGGTGACCCCTCTCGCCCCTGCCCGCCTCGGCCCCACACCCCATCCCTCCCAGAAGTGCCTCAGCATAGCCTGCCTGGACAATTTGACTCGCGCTCCACAGATGTCTGGGGTCGCCCGCTTCCTCCCCTGCCCCTCCTCCTCTCTGCGTGTTTGAGTTCAGCCAGGGGACCGAGCTCAGGGACCACTTGGACGCCATGGACTCCAACCTGGGCGACCTGCAGACCAAGCCGACTAGCCACGGCTTCAGCGTGGACACCAGTGCCCTGCCGGACCTGTTCGGCCCCTCGGTGACATTGCCCGACAGGAGTCTGCCTGACCTTGACAGCAGCCTGGCCCGCGAGACCCCCAGGCCTCGCGAGGCAGAGAGCAGCAGCCCTGACTTGGGGAAGCAGCTCCTGCTGTACCCGGGCTCCGTGGACGTGCGGGGCAGCGGTCTGCCGGTGCTCTTTTTTTTTTTTTTTTTGCGGTACGCGGGCCTCTCACTGTTGTGGCCTCTCCCGTTGCGGAGCACAGGCTCCGGACGCGCAGGCTCAGCGGCCATGGCTCACGGGCTCAGCTGCTCCGCGGCTTGTGGGATCTTCCCGGACCGGGGCACGAACCCGTGTTCCCTGCATCGGCAGGCGGACTCTCAACTACTGCGCCACCAGGGAAGCCCTGCCGGTGCTCTTAGAGCTGGGGGAGGGCTCCTGCTTCTCGCAGGAGGACAACCACGCTGATGACCCCACCATCTCCCTGCTGATGGGCTCTGAGCCCCCCGAAGCAAGGGATCCCACTGTCTCCTAGAGGCCCGGGTCTTGGCGTGGCCCCCCAGACCAAGGGTGCGGCCCCGTGTGCCAAGGCTTGCTTGGGGCTTCATAGCCACACTTGGACTGACTAGTACACGGGTGTTCATAGAACTATATTTTGGATTTTTACATGAGAACCCCCCTTTCCCCTTACATAGAGATATACAGATACATACGAGAACGGACGGGTGGATGGACAGACGGACAAGACAGGCAGAGATCTAAGAACAACGGGCTCTGTCTGTGGCAAAAAAACAAACAACAACAAAATACAGAGCAAACAGAGGCAGAGAGAAGAGGGGAATGTCACATAAACTATAATAAACTTCCTCATAGATAAGCTAGAGTATCTCTGAAAGAAGAACAGGATGCTGTGAAACATCAGCAAGGAGGTGCTGTAAGATGATCAACAGTATATGAGAAATAAAACCTTAAGGCCCATTTTAAGATCCAGACTTTTCTTCTTATGAGGGAAAGAAGCTACTGGTATTTAAAAAACAACAGTTGGCATTATTATCCTTAGCTCAACCAACCAAAAATGGTATGTATCTTCTTTTTGTGTCTTGAAAATGAAGGGAGTCTCTAAAGAAAGAAATGTATCTTTCTCTGAGAAATTACTGTTTGTTCTGGTTATTTAGGAATTGTATTGGTTTGACACTGCAATTAATTTACAAAGGAATTCTTCCTATTGAATAGGTAACATACTGCAAAATCCCACAGGGAGAAAGGTGCATCGCTTGTTTTCTCGTGTCCTGCAGCCACCCAGTTCACCTCTCAGGAGCCAGACTCTTACTGGTTTCTCCTGCATCGTTCCAGATAGAGGCAATTTACTGTGAAGCCAACTATGCTTCTGCATCAGCGTCCTTTGCTTGCTTAGGCCCCTTCCCAGGCCTTATACCGAATTTTGTATTTGTACTTTTTGTATTCTTTTTCTTAAAAAGGGCCACCAGAATTGTACAAGTTTCAGAGCCCCTCAAACCTGAATCTGCTAGCTTCCAGAGACAGTGTCTTCATATACAAGCATGTATTTGCATATATTCTATAAAAATACATAAACAGTAGTATATCATATTCATTGTTCCCTGCCTTGCTTTTTTACACTTCATATCTTGAAATCAGTATTTACAAGAGTTGCCTGCTTTTTAACCATTGTGTTACATTCTATTGTAGGGATAATGGTACTTTTATGTAAACATTCATCTATTGATGAATAATTGAGTTATTTCCACTATTCTACCAATACACACGGTGCTGCAATGAATAACCTTGTATGTAATTCACAGTCAGAGTGACCATACCTGCAGGTGTCTGGGGTAGTCCTTACTTGTAACAGTGCTCCCTTAGATTCTCAAAAATGTCCAGTGTAGATGTGTATTCTTTGAAGGAGAATCACTAGATTAAAGAATATGTAAATATTTAACTTCAATAGATATTATAAAATTGTTGTCTGTAGAGGTTGCACCGGTGTACCCTCCCATCAACGTGTGGACAGTACTAATTTCGTTCCCTGGCCCCTGCCAAGTGAGAGTGTTATCAAACTTCTATATCTATATGATGGGCAAGAAATAGTGTGTCATTATTTTAATTTACTTTTAAAAGTTAGTGAAATTAAGTGTATTTCTTTCAGTCAAGTGGTTGAAAATCTATTTGAATTTCCTTTCCTATAATCTATGTCATTGCTCATTTTCTATTGGTTGTCAATATTTTTCTTATTGATTTGAAAGAGATTTTTATATGTTGGGGAGTGCTGCCTGTTATTTAGAAATAACTTCGGGAAAGTAAAGGCTGGAGGTAAATATACACATACTTTATTTTAAACCATGCTTTTCAAACTGGTTTACACACATCCCAGGAAATACTTGTCAGTGTGGCAGGGAACAGAGTAGATGGTGTTTAATAGCATCAGCTCTGGAGCCATACTGCTGTGTTCATGTTCCAGTTCTGCCTCTTGCTAACTAAGTAACTTTGGACAAATCTTTTAAATTTCATTGACTCAATTAACTATCCATAAAGTAGATAATAATCTCTACTTCACAAAGTTGGAGTTAAAGAACCTACGCCAAGAAAAGATAGTTAGCTTGGAAAACCAAAATAAACAATAATTCTGGTCCTGTTATTTGGCTTTTTAAAAAGAATCATAAGGGGCTTCCCTGGTGGCGCAGTGGTTGAGAATCTGCCTGCTAATGCAGGGGACACAGGTTTGAGCCCTGGTCTGGGAAGATCCCACATGCCACGGAGCAACTAGGCCTGTGAGCCACAACTACTCAGCCTGCGCGTCTGGAGCCTGTGCTCCGCAACAAGAGAGGCCACGACAGTGAGAGGCCTGCGCACCGCGATGAAGAGTGGCCCCTGCTTGCTACAACTAGAGAAAACCCTTGCACAGAAACAAAGATCCAACACAGCAAAAATAAATTAATTAATTAAAGTACCCTTAATTTAAAAACAAAAATCATAAGAACACACAAAATTAAGGTAAAGTGATAAGAGTATGCCATGAAAATTTTGAACAAGAATCCAACTGACACAGATAACTTCTTAACAGACTGTATCAGTTAGCTAATTGCTGTTTTTATTTATTTATTTATTTTTGGTTTCAATTAATTAATTTATTTATTCATTTATGGCTGCGTTGGGTCTCCATTGCTGTGGGCTTTCTCTAGTTGTGGCAAGCAGGGGCTACTCTTCGTTGGGGTGCGGGCTTCTCATTGCAGTGACTTCTCTCGTTGCAGATCACGGGATCTAGGCACACAGGCTTCGGTAGTTGTGACATGCGGATTCAGGAGTTGTGGCACATGGGCTTAGTTGCTCCGTGGCATGTGGGATCTTCCCGGACCAGGGCTTTAACCCATGTCCCCTACATTGGCAGGTGGATTCTTAACCACTGTGCCACAAGGGAAGTCCTAATTGCTGTTTTTTAAAAAAGAACAACAGGCCCCAAATGGAGTCATATGCTACGCCCCACCGAGACTTAGTACCTAACTTAATTGTACTTTCAACTTCTCCCAGGAGTGGAATTTTAAACCAATTAGTCTGAAAGTACCTGATCAACCCTAGTGAAGTAATCAGCTTGATAAGACCCCCTGCCTTCCCCTAACGCAAGGGGATCTTCCCTGGAAAATTCACTTAACTTCCTTGTCTCATCCTCCTTCTGCTTTTAAAATCTTTCCATCTTGAACATCTCCTCAGAGCACAGTTCTCTTTGTTTTTTGGTGGGTTTTGTTTGTTTGTTTTTAAATAAATTTATTTATTTAATTAATTTATTTTTGGCTGCGTTGGGTCTTCGTTGCTGTGCGTGGGCTTTCTCTAGTTGCGGCGAGCAGGGGCTACTCTTCATTGCGGTGCGCAGGCTTCTCATTGCGGTGGCGACTCTTGCTGCAGAGCACGGGCTCTAGAGCGCAGGCTCAGTAGTTGTGGAGCACGGGCTTAGTTGCTCCACAGCATGTGGGATCTTCCAGGACCAGGGATCGAACCCGTGTCCCCTGCATTGGCAGGCGGGTTCCTAACCAGTGCACCACCAGGGAAGCCCCAGTTTCTTGATGGTGTTTTTTGGCCCTGCTGCATGGCTTGTGGGATCCTAGTTCCCTGACCAGGGATCGTACCCGGGCCCACATCAGTGAAAGTGCTGAGTCTTAACAACTGGACCACCAGGGAATTCCCTGAGCACACTCCTCTTTGTTAGATAGGATGCTGCCCAATTCATGAATCATTGAATAAAGCCAATTAGATCTTCAAATTCTCTCTGTTCAGTTTGTTTTCTAACACTGTGTATCTCACTATCCCAATATTTTGTGTCTTAACCATTTAATTAACTCACGCTTCTGTGGGTTGGCAGCATGGGCTGGGCTCCTGTATGGATTTCTTGTAATCTCAGCAAAGCTCACTCATATGTTTGTGATCAGCAGCTGGTCAGTTGGACAGCTCTGCTTCTGAAGGTTGCCTGGGTGTTGCTGCGGTGATAAGAGGTGCCCGGGCCACAGGTCTTGTCATCCAGAAGACTAGCCTGAGGTTGCTGGCTGGCAGGGTTTCGGGATTGAGAGCAGAAGTGTACAGGGCTTTCTGAGGCCTTGGCTGGCACAAGGTTGCTTCCACCTGGTTTTATTGACCTAAGCCAGTCACAAGGCCAATCCAGATCCCAGCAGTGCGGCAACAAGCTCCACCTTTTGATGGCGTAGCTGCCAAGAGCACATTGCAAAGAGCTCAGATAACAGGAAGTGGGGAGCATTGCAGCCGATTCCACACCTAGATAAATTTGAAGTTTGGGATACAGAGTGCAGGTGAGAGATAGCCAGCAATCATGGGGCTATACAAACCCACAAACGTCCCACAGAGCAAAAGTCAATCTGAACGTCTGTCACAGCCAGAGGAAACCAAAACCACTTCTGGTCTGTGCTGGTTAAGTAAAGCATTTCCTCCCCTGCATCTGGCACTGATGGGTATGGTGGGATGCTGCGGGAGTCTGGAAAGAAATTCACCAAGAAGAATCCGGCCACACTGTCTTTGTTCCCCAGCACAACTTTCCAAGTCAAGCCAGTGATGGCTGGCCGAGGGAAGAAACTTAATTTAAAATGAAGCGTGGAGGACTTTTTATAGAGAGATTGAGCAGATTCGCTCTGTGACCTTCCTGAGTATTGTTCAAAGGCAGAGAAAGAACTAGCTCCACAGGGCAGGTTACCAGGGACAATGGGGGAAAAGGATAAAGCTATTATCTGATTATAACCTACAAGCCCACAGACTCAATGTACTGTTACAGAGATAAAAAAAATTATAGATTGTAGTAAGTGATATAAAGGAAATAAACATTAGAGCTGTAGAGAGAGGGGAGGCAAGAGGGGTTTCTTGATAGAGTTGCCTGGAAATGACTCCCTGGGGCGACTTGAAGTCGGAGAATGAACTGTCCCAGTGTTTCAGGCAGAGGGACTGGCTAGTGTCAAGTCGCAAGACAGGGAAGACCTTGGCACGTTCTCGGGCAATGACTTGTTTTTTCTTTTTTAACTACAATTTATGGGATAAAAAACAGTTTATTACTGCAATCCAGAACACATGCATCCAAAACAAAAATTTCATGGAATTCTCCTTCTACATAAAGTGCTAAAATGCACGCTTGTATTTTCTTTTACTTCAGGTTCATTGAGACATAATTTACATACAGTAAAATCCACCCTTGTTAGTTGTACAGTTCCATCTGTTTTGACAAATGTATGCAGTCGCAGACATCACCACAATCAAGATATAGGACATTTCCATCCACCTCAAAATTCCCTCAGGCTCCTTTGTAGTCAGTCGCCTCCCCCGACATGAAGCCACTAGCAAGCGCTGATCTGATTTCTGCTCCTACAGATTTTTAAAAATAGTTTTTCTTAGTATCTGTCTATAGGTTTATTGATTTTAATGATCTTTTCAAATAACCTGGTATCATTAATTTTTCTCTATTTTTCTGTTCTCAATTTCATTGATTTGTGCTCTAATCTTCCTTATTTCTTACTTATTCACTTTTTTTTTTTTTTTTTTTTTTTGGTGGTACGCGGGCCTCTCACTGCTGTGGCCCCTCCCGTCGCGGAGCACAGGCTCCGGACGTGCAGGCTCAGCGACCATGGCTCACGGGCCCAGCCGCTCCGCGGCACGTGGGATCCTCCCGGGCTGGGGCATGAACCCGCACCCCCCGCATCGGCAGGCGGACCCCCAACCACTGTGCCACCAGGGAAGCCCATAGCAACTTTTGTGTTTTTTGTTTTTTGTTTTTTGCGGTACGCGGGCCTCTCACTGTTGTGGCCTCTCCCGTTGCGGAGCACAGGCTTCGGACGCGCAGGCTCAGCGACCATGGCTCACGGGCCCAGCCGCTCTGCGGCACGTGGGATCCTCCCGGACCGGGGCACGTACCCTTGTCCCCTGCATCGGCAGGCGGACTCTCAACCACTGCGCCACCAGGGAAGCCCCCTTACTTATTCACTTCGAATTTAATTTGCTCTTCTTTTTTCTGACTTCTTAAGATGGAACATAGATTAATAATTTGAAACTTTTTTTGTTTTCTAGTTTAATGTTTAAATTTCCATTTAGGCACCACTTTGGCTGTGTCCCACAAATTTTGATATGTTATTTTTCCATTTTTATTCAATTCAAAATATTTTCTACTTTCCCTTGTGACTTCCTCTTTGACCCATGGGTAATTTAGAAGTGTGTTGTTTAACCTGCAAATATTTGGGAGATTTTCCAGATATCATTCTAATTTAATTCAGTTGTGGTCAGAGAACATACTTTTTATGATTTCAGTTATTTAAAATTTGTTGAGTCTTGTTTTATGGTCCAGACTATTATCTATCTTGATGAACGCTTGATGTGCCCTTGGAAAGAATGTTGTTCTTCTGTTGTTGGGTGGAATGTTCTATAAATGTCAATTAGGTCAAATCTGTTGATAGTGTGTTCAGATCTTTTTACCTTTGCTGATTTTCTGTCTACTTGTTTCATCAATTACTGAGACAGGAGTATTGAAGCCTCCAGCTATAACTGTGGATTTATCTGTTTGACTTTCAGTTCTATAAGTTTTGCTATATGTATTTTGGAGCTGTGTTCAGTGCATGAACATTTGGGACTATTATGTCTTCTTCATGAATTTTTGTTTGTTTCTGAGATTTTTTTAAACTTTTTTTTTAATTGGAGTATAATTGCTTTACAATGTTGTGTTAGTTTGTGCTGTACAATGAAGTGAATCAGCTATATGTATACATATATCCCCTCCCGCTTGGACTTGCCTCCCATCCCCCCATCCTGCCCATCTAGGTTATCCCAGAGTGCCGAGCTGAGCTCCCTGTGCTATTCCACAGGTTCCCCCTAGCTATCTATTTTACACATGGTAGTGTATTTGTGTCAAACCTAATTTCCCAATTCATCCCACCCTCCACTTCTGCCCCTGTGTCCATACGTCTGTTCTCTACATCTGCGTCTCTATCCTTGCACTGGAAATAGGTTCATCTGTACTCTTTTTCTAGATTCCACATATATGCATTAATATACGATATTTGTTTTTCTCTTTCTGACTTACCTCACTCTGTATGACAGACTCTAGGTCCATCCACATCTCTACAAATTACCCAATTTTGTTACTTTTATGGCTGCATAATATTCCATTATGTATATGTA